TATAATTCATGTACCATATGCCAATAGAAAAAATATTGAACGAAAAGCGGTCCCGAATAATAACTTAATAATTAGCACTTTCATTGATAATGATCAAGAAACATCACATTTGTTCATGTTTATTGAAAATCAATAGCTTGGTGGATGACTCGTTGAAAATTTGAAGTGAATAGTATTTTCAGAAGGGGTTTGTGGAGATTTTAGAAATTTCACTGATTGAAATCATGAGTCGATTGAAGCTAGACCACCATGGAGAACCTGGAAGCACTGGACGGCCGTTTCATCCTAGTATGTAACTCATCAGCAGTGCGCATTCACGATCCTGCACCCTGCGAGATTCAAACCCAGGACCTATCGGTCTCGCACCAGGCGCTTAACCAACTAGACCATTGAGCCAGCATCCAATGGTGTTAATGTCTAACTTCAACCAATCCACGAAATTACGCCACTGTATACTATTGTCTCCGATGAGCTGATATCTCACAACAGACCTGGTTGATCTCCACTGATAACGTCTTCTCACTAGAACTCCAGGAGTATCTCTTGAAGTCAGTCACTAGTGAGCAGATGATGATTATTAGAAGGAGTTTGTGCAGATTTCAAAAATTTAACAGTTTGAAATCATGAGTCAATTTAAGCTAGACCACCATGGAAAACCTGAAGGTACTGGACAGCAGTTTCGTCCTATTGTGGGACTCCTCAGCAGTGCGCATCTAGCTTCAATTGACTCATGATTTCAATCTGTTAAACAGTACTTTGTTTAATTCCTTATCATGAAAATCAGCATAGAATTGTGCCATTTATGTCCAACTGACATGTTCTAAATAAGGCAAAACACTAATTCTGTATTCCAATGTTAACTACAACTGATTTATTCCATATAAATACTACTATAGTTATTATAACAATGTTATATTTAATTAATAAAGGTTTTTGATATATCGTGTTATTGATATTCTTTAACTGAATTTTGATTAGTTTCAGTTAACATAAGTATATCCTATAAGGATTATTTCAACATAGTCATTTTTCACAAGTTTTATTAGAGAGATGCTTTATAACTCAGTAGTGGGATCTAGTAATTTTTATAAGTTTGATGAGAAAGGCTCTGCGTTCGATTCTCGTAGGTGTTTATCAACTTCAGAATCCAAATACATCAAACTGACTTGTCCTAAATAAGGCAGAATACTAGATTCCACTTACTTACTTACTTATGCCTAGTAATCTTCGTGAAGGAGCATAGGCCGCTCACCAGCATTCTCCATCCAACCCTGTCCTGGGCAATCCTTTCCAGCTCTTTCCAGTTGTTATTCGTCCTTTTCATATCTGCTTGTATTTCCCGACGTTATGTGTTCTTTGACCTTCCTCTTTTCCTCTTCCCTTCAGGATCCCAAGGTCGAGCTCGCCTCGTGATGTAGTTTGATGATTTACGTAATGTATGTCCTATCCATTTCCATCGTTTTTTCCTAATTCCTTCTTCTGTATTCCACTATTAATCACAATTCACCTCTTACATAAAAATCATTCCTGTAATTGTATGTCGATGCTAGTGATGCTTTTCTCGGTCATTTAGTCATAAAATTAATTCTTCTTTGGTATATAAGTGTTTTAACCGTTAGTTGAAAGTTAAAGATGACGTATCATTTGTATAAGTTGTTTGAATCTTTCCATTGATGTTTAAGATTAAAGTTGATCAGTCTCCTTTAGAATATGTACATTCTATACCTACTGTCTCAGTATTTCCGTTGAGTAACAAGCATCATAAATAGAGTTGGATAATGATGGAATTAAACTATGCTTATGAAATAAGAACAAAAGTGTATTTTACTGGCGAGCAAATTGTATTTTATTGACATTTGAGTAAAAAAAATGAATAATACATAGGAATATTATGCTCCTGAAAAGATTAAAATTGATAAACCTGGCAATATCAAGAAAACATAAATGAACTATTGCAACTAATGAAGTGATATGATGGAACTAATTTATTAACTGCGAAAAAATGTTAGAAAACAACTCGAATCGAGATGGTGGAGAAGATTTGTAGCTCAGGTGGATAATTTCGATGGAGTTTTGTTCTCTGAGCTCAGAGAACAAAACCCCATCAAAAATAACTGGAACTGAAATTTCTCATTAAAGTTTGAGATGTTTTTATGGATTTTTCTAAATAATTGATAATTTTCTTGATCTTTGATATCAATGTTTTATCTTTATAACTATTCGTCAATTCTCTCACTCTAAGCCCAACTACTTACTCTGATCTCAACTTTACATTTTAACTTTAATCGATTTGGATTTTTATGTGAAAAGTCCTCCACATCTTGATCTGCTAAAAAAAATAACTTTATCTTGCTAAAGTCATTTATGAATTGCTAAATGTCATCTGTCAGGTTTCGTTACATAAAGCTGAACCACACTATTGAGTGATTTTGAGATCTTATCTTATTAAGTCAAATAGAAGTTAAGGGAGCTTATTACACACAGACTTGGACTTGGGATATACATTTGAGTATACTGGTATTACAACTGATGTCCAAAAACTTTACGCTAACTTACAATACTAATGCTCAAAATTAATTCTTAACTGTATTTTGATAATCGTTCGTTACCTTGAAAAGGTTGTGTACTTACCATTGACGCGACTGTAAAGCCCAGATCCATTGTTTTTTCTTCATTGAAATATCTCCCTTTTTAAAAATCACTGAAACATCTTATTCATGATTTGTGTCATCACACTAAATGAGATCATGATAGATCAAGATACTTATTGTTAAGTTATTATTAAATTTTCAAATTAGACTGATATACACACTAATGATTATTGAAAGTAATTAACAAATGAAATTATGAAGTTTGTCTAACAGACTTTATACGTATTTTTACATGGTTTACCGTTTGTCATTATTGTCATAATCATGTTTTATTGTTGTAAAATGGTGATGCATTATAATTTGAATGTCCAGATCAACAATATTTTTAATATTTTCTTACATTATTTAAATATTTATCAGTATGGGTTGTGGAGATTAAGCGTTTGCTCGCGAAACCGAAGGCCCTAGGTTCGTGTCCAGCGAGGGGGTTCGTGGATGAGCACTGCTGACGAGTCCCACATTGGGACGAAACGGCCTTACAGTGCTTCCAGGCTTTTTATGATGGTCTAGCTTCAATTAATTCATGAATTCAACCATTAAATTTCTACATGCTTCAGGAAATTAAAAGAGAAATTTATAAATTTCCATATTAAATCTTCTCGATATTGAAGTGCTCTGTAACGTTAAGCTAACAAATATTACCCTTCCGAAATCATAAACATATTGGATAGCATGATATAAAGTCACTCAACCTAGAAAATTAAATCATCATTCTTGTAATCGATTCGAAGTTCATATATACATATAATATATACCTTTTGAAGTTAGTTTCAATGAATACAAATATTAGTTACTTACATTCAGAATAACGAATACAACTTTCTAGTGATATAAAGTTCACCCACAAGAAAAATGAGTTTCTATTATTTCGTTTAAAAGATTTATAAAGACTAGAACAATTTAAGAAACAGTTTCTACATAAAATAAAATTAGCTTGATAATCAAGAAAACCTATGAACTATTAGATAGCTATGAAATTCTTTAGTGGAGAGCACTTATAACAGTAAACCAAGTCAAACACTTGAATATTAGTTACTGAGACAATCATAATGACTTAAATTGATAATTTTTGCATCCAACAGTTCACATTTCTAATATCAATCAGTTTATAATATAAAACGACAACTGTTGAATCTTATTAGTGGGAAAGTGACTAATTTCAAGTATGGTAGAACATAAACCCTAAATGGACAACTTTTTACTATATGACAAAATAACTATAATTAGATTTACAATAAATAAAAACAAATTTTATGCATCTGTTATTGTGATTCACTTTGGTTAATCGAATTTTCCTACTTCAATATCACTTAACATGTACACAGTTTTAGTTGAACTACCTGTATTTAACTGTACTTGCTGTCAAGATATGACTTAATTTCACAAAACATTCTTCTAGAACATTGATTAACTTCGAGTATAATTGGGTATCACCTGCACAAGCAGGTGACTATCAGGATTCAGTAGCTGAGTGGATAACGCGATGGCGTTACTGCGTTCGAGTCCCAGAGTGAACATCAACTCCGCGATGTAGATACTTCCAGATGACGAGTCCTAAATAGGATGAAACGCGCGTCCTGGATTCCACTACTAAACACTATCCATCGTTGCTTGAAAAGCCTGTGATTATGAGTAATTGTTTGTTTCAGTTATCCCACTGTTGATATTTAAGATTAGATTTTGATTAATTTGTTTTAGCATGTATGAATTCTCTATAGATTGTCAGAATATAGCCATTTTGTCATAAGTTATTTAGTAAAGGTGGAGTATGGTTAGACGAAATTCCGGAGTAGACGTCGTTTTGTCCTGGCTAGGATCTATCATTTGGATGTAGCCGTTTATTCCCCATGTTGATATTCACTTTGATACTCAAACCCAGTAGCTCATTGAGTAACATTTTGAGCGTTTAAAAAAACGAGTACTTATTGCAAGTTTCAATGTGAATATAAACACTATAAATTAGCAGGTATGCTCAGATGACAACTCCTATATGAAACGAAACGTTCAAACTGAACTCCATTTCTAGCTACAATTCATATGTTCCACAAAAATCTACAGTCACTTTTGTATTCAACGATTATTTTTATCAGATGAGTTTTGTGGATATTATAGTAATTTCAATGGTTAAGATCATGAGTCAATTGAAGCTAGACCATCATGGAAAACCTGGAAGCATTGGACGGTCGTTTCGTCCTATTGTGGGTCTCCAGTGCTTCCAGGTTTTCCATGATGGTCTAGCTTCAACTGACTCATGATCTTAACCATTAAGAATATTTTTATATAAGGAATTTATTACACATTAAGTAGTTCTATTTCTATTTCTCTATTTTCTTTTCTCTTTACTTCTAGGTATTATTATATTTTGGTGTATTCGACTACGTCATTTATATTTAAGTCAACGTCATACTAAAATGTATGATCCAGATATGTTTCAAAATAGTCAAATTAAAAATAATGGATCATTACATTATTCTAGTACATCACATCAGCCAATGAATTCATTACAAAATTCATTAGCATCTATTAATCATTTACAAAAATATTCATTACCTATAGGACAAATGATTAGCCCTTATTATAAACAACAACAATTTTTTCATTCCAATTTAAATCATCCTAATGAATATCATAATTCAACTATAGAGAATTCATTAAAACAATTACCTGATCATCAAATGAATTCTGATATGAATTTATATCTTGGAGAACGATCAAGTTATACGAATAATTCATATTCTTCACAATCTCCTAGTAAGTATAAGTGATTAAATATGATTTTATGAATAAGTATGGTTAAAATCTATGTGTGATCTGAAATTCGACTACCGGCTGGAACATGTGTTACGTATACCCAAACACCGACTGCCTCGACGTGTTATGTTTTACGGTGTAGGAGTAGGCTGGAAGGAAGCTAGAGGCGGCCAGAACAAAACATGGCACAAATCCATGAAGTTAGTGACAAGTAAACTGAGCCATGTTGGTAGGTGTAGACTATCTGGTTGAGATCCGCGAGGTGATATCAACCGATGGTTAGAGACCTTGAATGACATGGCTCGAAATCGTTTGAAATGGTGAAGGTGGATCCTTTCTTTGAGTTCTCCCAAATTCTAATTTTCTGAATTCTTCATGTCCTTTATTTTCTTCCCAAATTTATGTCACTGGATTATACTCTTTGAATAACATCTTCAGACCCTAATGCTTCCGATTAATGCTTATACTCTTACCGCCTCTACCACTACGGGATTTGAATCCACAATTGTATATCTGTGCTAATGTGGTATGGCAACTCGAACTGATGTACGTACGTACGTACGTACGAAGTTCTCCGTTGTTACTGACTGGCAGACTGATTGTTTCAACTATTAGAACAATACAGATATAAGTGAACAAAATTGTTTTCAATTAAATTGTTAATAGATTTACTCTAATATCAATATGTGGATTTGTGAAGATTATAGTAGTTTCACAGTTGAATTCGCGAGTTGATCTAAACTAGTTCACCATTGAAAACCTGGAAGCAATAGATGTCCGTTTCGTCATAATATAGGACTCTTCAGCAGTAAGCAATCACAATCTTGGATGTGGGAGTAGAACATAAAATATAAAACATAAAAACATCAATAGTTCTCGTGTGGTTGTTTGATACTTGGATTGAGGAGGTTGATTTGTTGTATGTACCGTAAACTCAGTTAATCATTATGAAACCTCAATTCATTATTTTAGGATTCTTCATTCACTCTATTGTATGATTACTTGTAATCACTGTAATGTTGAGTGAACTTAATCTTTCATCTCTAATATCTAGGCCCACATTCTAACTTCACTAATGATCAAATTTATGAACGAACCATAAATGGGCCATGAATTTAAATTGTATTTCATTTCGTATGTTTAACTTAGGCTAAATCCAACTAGGTGGTAATAAAAAGTCAAATATATATTAGATTGGATGAACTTATCTCAGACATTCATTTATGCAGACAGACAGCAAGAGGGGAAGCGAAGCAGAAATGGTAAACGTACCAACGCCATTTAAGTAAACCGTGATCCAACGTTTATAAGCATGAAAAATACAAGCTATCATATAGACACATACTTACTATTATACGTACATGCTCAAGGTCACATTTGAATGACAAAAGGATAAACCATATGAACGTGTAAAAATGGTAGTTGCTATAGCAACATTCTGTTTAAATGATTATTAAGTCTGGCTTCATAATATGTGCATGATGTATATCTTCTTGTCTATTGAGAAATATTTTAACCAGTGATCACATGGACTGAAAGAATAATGACTTCAACTCATCATTCAATACATGATAGGAATTTTAACAAATATTTATGCTCTTTTAAGTCATTTTTATGGAGTGGAATTTTATGGGTTGGTAAAACAGCAGGTTGAATAAAGCCTAATTCTTGTTCGTCATATCATGTTATGTCACTAATATCTTCACTTATCTTGAGAATCCCATGAGCCCGTGTAATCTGGTATGTGAGAAAATCTCAGCATGGATATAAAAGGCTCGACTAGCACTTTCTAACTAGCGTCATTTATTCGTCTACCAGCCAAAGGATGGGTTTACTGAGCAGCAGTTCATCCCGTCCTACTTTACGGCAGTGAAACATGGCCGGTAAGAGTATAGGATATTTGTAAGTTACTAGTATTCGATCATAGGTGTCTTCGAAGCATTGCTCGTATATCCTGGGACAGTTGTTAAGAAACGATTACTAGGTTAGGATGGCAAATCAATTGATGAAGTAGTGAAACTTCATCAGTTGAGATGGCTGGGATATGTGTTACGTATGCTCAATCACCGGCTGCCTCGACGTGTGATGTTTTATGGTGTAAGAGTAGGTTGAAAGAAAGTTAGGGGCGGCCAGAACAAAACATGGCACAAATCCATGAAGTTAGTGACAAGTAAACTGGGCCATGTTGGCAGGTGTAGACTATCTGGTTGAGATACACGAGACGATATCAACCGATGGTTAGAGACCTTGAATGACATGGCTCAAAGTCGTTTGAAATGGTGCAGTTGTATCCACTCTTTGAGTTCTCCCAAATTCTAATCTTTTGAGCAACTGGCTTATTCTCAAGATAATTAGACTCTGAATATAACACCTTTTCATTAAAATCTAGACGTCGTTATCAGTGAATGAATGACGTTTTAAACTGAGTAGTAACAATGATTAGTTTGTTTTATCTTTAGATGAATAAATAGTTTTTTTGTTTGAGGTGTATTTTTTTTAAATTGTGTAGATAATTTCATTTTTAAAATACGGTGTTTTTAGCTATTTTCGTCAGCACTGTTGTACTTGCATAATACTGGTACGTGCTACTGGAGACTGTAAACTCGTGATACTCAAAAAGAATGATAAGATGGTAGATGAGGATCCAATTGTCCTTCAAAATTAATATTTGAATACACTGGTTTTTGAAGTGATTTTAACTAAATACCTGTTCGGTTTGTGTAAATTAAACTGAATAGTGCTTGACATGAGTGAAATAGTAATTTAGTGAATAGGCCTAGTTATACAATATCATAAAATTTGATTCATTGTCACTTGAAGAAGAAGCAAATGTCACAGGTCCCTGATACTCTAAATAATTAGATATTTCCTCACCACATTATTGTAACATTATCAAATAAGATTCCATCACTTTCTTTACTTCAGCTTCAACAGAACCAGTACAAACTTCAAATATAAGTTTTTCTCTAGAAAAAACAATAAAAGCTTTATAATCTAATCATCTAAATCAAAGAATACTACTCCACTAAAACCAGCCTCCTTAACTACACCTTTTCTTCATCATCTCAAAATGTACTCACTGTTGATTGCTTTTAACCCATTTGATCTTAGATTTTTCGGGAATTATTCTTTGAATCGAACTGAAAGAGAAATTAATGAATATGAAAGGGTGTTTAATGAACAACGAATTCCAAATGTTGTAGGTTATAAGCAGGTGATGAGATCCTAATGGAATAAAATGAATTCATATTATTTTGCACTAATCTTAGTTTTTACTTTCTTTAACACAAATAACTGTTCTTACTGTTAATAATTTGGTATATTCACCCGCCCCCACCAACATATAAAATTGGATCAGAATAATAACAACAACAACAACTATCGTACCAGAATAACTCATGAATTCATTTCCATTTCTTCGAATCTCTTCAGATGCTGACAGCTATAAAATAGAAAAACAAGTGGGTGGCATTTATATCAGAGAAGCTTTGTGTAAAAAAAAGAAAAAAGATTTGTTATCATTAAATTCACTTTTAATTTTCAATAAGATTTAATAGCAAGGTTGATTCATACACTTTCGGCTTACATACCCTTCTCTAATTTCAAACTCATGTTCGGTGCTTGTATGTGTGTGTGTGTACGTGAAGGGCTACATAGTGATAAATAATTATAAAAATTGGCGGTCATATCAGATGACAGTTCGCAATTCTTTTATACATATTAATTAATAACAGTGACTACTAATAATAGCAGCTACATATTAATAATGAAAACAGATTTTCACATTCCATTCTAATTATGAAACAATGTGACCAGTTTTTTGCAAACGCCTCGTCAACTTTAACTGTATAATTAGTATAGAGGATTTGTGGATATTGGAAAATTTTAAATTAAAGACTGATCTTGGCTAGAAAACTGTTCTAAACTATAAAACCTATTATACAACTTCTCAGAAGTAGTCACCCATCATGAGGTCATAGACTAATGGTTTCTAGCTCAGCGGTTGAACGGTTAAGTATTCAATGCAAAATCCGAACATCATGATTTCAATCTTCAGTGTGATTGTGGATACAAAATATTTAAGAGTTCTATAGTGCTATAATAAAATAGCTTTTCATTGCTTCTTAGTTTTCAATGATTGCCTGAATGAAAACAGTGTTTGATGCAGCCTATGAAATATAGCTGTATTTCTAACCATAATACATGGGATATTTTTAACTGTTTTCAACGATAGACTACTATTTCCCTAAAATCTTCAACTGTGTATTAACCTCTTTGTTCATAAATGTAAATACTGAATCATTATTTCCGTAACTGTGTTTACGATATGTCATATATATTAACCTAAATTTGTAAAAAATATAAGATTTACTAGTGTTTGAATTAATATATCTTTCATTATAAATGCAATAATCTATTAGTTTTTAACAATGATTTATGGGCGTTGTCATTACTGTCCTTATTCCACTGTCGACTATATATTTTGATAAATGTGTATTGAACGAGAACTCAAGTAGGGGAAACCAATTTATTATTTTGTGCAAAATCATACAGGGGGTTAGTAAATTATGCAAATGATACATTAACTATATCATATGCACAACATCTTTTCGTTGTTTCTTCACATACTCCAATATTCTTTTAATTATGTTGTTATTTCGAATGTTTTCAGACTTTTTTCCTATTCTCTTCATTACAATCTTCTTTTGTCAGGCATTCCACTTTTGATTACTGCAATATACTACTTATATCTTTCAACAAAAGCAATATACACCACAACTATAGTTCATAAATAAGCAAATCAAGTTGTATACGTTTTCTAATTTGTATTTAACTCACAAGCTGATGTAAAGGCGATTATTTAAAACTCACAGCCAATTCGTAACGGTCTACATTATTCAACGTGTACATAAACACAATGTGATATTTGTATAGGGGTTGTGGAGATTATTGAGTTTTTGATTGAGATCATGAATCCATTGATGTTAGACCACCTTTGG